GAGAGAGAGAGGGAGAGGGAAAAGAGGGGACGGCGGTGTGTCTCGACCTTTCCCGATAAGCTCGACCATTGCTCGAATGGGAACGCCTAGGGTTTCGATCCACGAGCTTTCTCGCCAATCTCTTCCTCCCTCCCTCGCTATCTGGATTAAACTAGGATTTCTCAGCAAAAGAAATTTATAATCTCCCATCTTTCTCCGGCCTTTCTTCCTTGTTCCCCGATTCCCCTAACTCTACCACTAGCTCCTACTCTTCTTGCTGCAGCTGTTACTGCTGTTCGTTCACCGTCGCTGTCGCTCTTCTTGCGCACCGAGGAAATTGCGGGGGGAGACGAAGAGATCGAGGACCAGTAATGGCGGATTGTTGTCCGAAGCGGGCGTAGCACCTCGACGAAGATTTTGCTGTCGTCTCATTCGGAGGAGAGGAGAGGCAGAGGCTGGAGGGCGGCATTTGCGGAAGGAGCTGTTTGGCGCGTCGGTCTCGATGAGAACTGGAGGAATGCACGTCGATCGGGGCTCGTCTGCTTCGAATCCGGAGTAAAGGATCGATTTTGGGGGTGGGATTCTCTTGTGCTTGGAGATCGAGTGGGTAGATCTGGAATGCGGAGGCATTAAATCGTCGCAAGGTGAGATTTTCTCGGAGAAACGAGATATTCATGAGTAATACGGATTATTTGTCGCTGAGATTTCGGTCGAGTTTGTTGTCTGAGAAAGCTTTCGTTTTTTTCTTCGCTTTGCGTTTGCTTGTTTTGTGTCTGGTTCGGCTTCGTCTTTAAAGCAGCTGCTAGGATTAAAGGTGCTGCTGTCTTTTGGTTCGTGGATTTATGTCTACTCTCTTAATAACCCGTCAGAATTCGGTGTCTTATACTGCCCTCGTCACAGACGTTGCTGCTGTAGCTGCTGCCTTCATGTCGTTGTGCTGATTTCTAGCCACCCGACGAGCCAGCGCGAGTAGCGGGAAGAAAGAGGGGGAAAAGGAAGCCAAGAACAGCTGATCGCCGCTGCCAGAAAAAAAGCAAAGGCTCCGAGCTGACTTGTCCGGCCACCTACTTTGTCTACAGGTCTCGCATTTCCTCTCCATTCTTTGTTTTCTGGTCTCCTATCCTTGCTGCTGTACTGCGGTTGTGAACTCGCCATGAATGCTGAAGGACGGCCTTCTGCTAACTCCCAGAAACCCTAAGTCCCGGAGTTGCCATATCCCCTCAGTCTCGCCCACACCCACCACACTCCACTTGCAGGAAGGAGATCGAGGGGTAGATATAATAAGGAGTGGCCGATCACGCGATAAAGATCCTATCTTTGTGCCCAGGAGAGGCATGAGAGCAAGATGGAATTGGAGGAGAACGACCACGCTTCCAAGAGGTCCCGGATGATGTGCAACGGCAGTCAGGCGGCCAAGATAGGGCGCAAGCAGCTCGCGAGGGACGACGACGAGGACGGAGAGAAGAGGAAGGGCGAAGGAGGGGCTGATGCCAACCGCATCGGGTCCTGGCAGCATTACCCGTCGTCAAGGATCTTTCGGGTCTCGCGAGCCTCCGGCGGCAAGGACCGGCACAGCAAGGTCTACACCGCGAAGGGCCTCCGCGATCGGAGGGTCCGTCTCTCCGTCTCCACCGCCATTCAGTTCTATGACCTCCAGGACCGCCTTGGCTGCGACCAGCCGAGCAAGGCCATCGAGTGGCTTATCAAAGCCGCTGCGGCCGCCATCAACGAGCTTCCTCCGCTCGATGGCTTCCTAAAGCCACCGCACCCTAGCGGGGAAGAGATCATGGAGATCAATCCAGATGTTGAGTGTAGCTACAATCAGCAACAACAACAGCAGCATCAGTCGAGCAAGTCGGGCTGCAGCAGCACCTCGGAGATCAGCAAAGGCTCGGTTCTGTCACTCTCACAGTCAGAGAGCCGCATCAAGGCCAGAGAGCGAGCACGAGAACGAACTGCGAAGGACAAGGCGAAAGATAGAGACGACAGTGGCCCCATTGTGGCGTCCCATCACCAGAACCAGAACCCGAACCCGTACCCGAACCCTCAGACCCCCTCCTTAACTACTACCTTCACGGAGCTTCTTACTGGTGGCGGCAGCGTCCGCAATAATTCCAACGTAACCGCTGCCGTTGCAGGCCAGAACTCCGACCGCAGTTGCATTCAGAAGCAAATCTCCACAGCGGATTACTTCGTCCAAGCTGGTCTCTTTGCTCAGCCGCAAAAGAGTCACCAGCTGCCGTCGAGTTTTCCCTCCCAATCCCACTTTGGGAACAGATCCCCGATGGGAATGTTGCCATTCAACATAGCTGCCACTGGCCACCATCCCGAAATGCAGCAGTTATTCTTACAGGACCATGTCTTCCCCGTCTCGGCAGTGGCAGCGTCAGGGGATTACAATCTCAACTTCTCAATTTCTTCGGGAATTGCAGGTTTCAGTAGGGGGACCCTTCAGTCCAATTCACCAGCTCAGATGCCTCAGCAGCACCATCACAGTCACAACAATCTACCGAGGCTCTCTTCTACCGTTGACGGATCGAACCTGCAGTTCTTCTTCGGTTCTGCCGCTGGTTCGGCTGCAGCCGCCACCAGCGCAGAGAATCAATTTCCGGCAGGGATGGACGGCGGCCTGCAGCTCTGCTATGGGGATGGCTATCGGCATTCAGACCTCAAGGGGAAAGGGAAGAGATGAGTTAATCAGAAAAAAAGATGCCATTTTGTGCATACTCCATTGCTGGTAAGAAGTTCTTCCTGCTGCTTTCCTTGCTATCTAAAAGATTACATTTTTTTATCTATTTTTTAATCAAATGATCTTGTCTGCTTGCTACTTAGTCTTTTTTTCTTTTTTTTTTTATTCTTCCGGACAACTTTTTGGATTTTGGTGTGTTATTGTCTTCCGGTCCCTTAATGGGATCCTGAATTGAGGATTACCGTTCTCGAGGTTGCATGTCTCAATTTGATTTCCTTAGCTTTTATAACCTAAGGATGCACACCTTTGAAAGGGCTTCAATGGTGGATCGACAGGTGGCCATGCCGGGATTTTATAGCATTCTGTAGTTGTGTCTCATTTTGTTTGGCTAGACCAAGTGTCAAAAGGTTAGGAGTAATAAAGTTGGAACCCCATTAAAGAGTAGTCTTGTTGATGCCGGCCATTCGTATAACATCTACTGTAGCCCGACACTTTTTGGAGTATGAGTTTGCACTGCACCTGTACTTGCTGTTTCCTTGCTTATTGGACCCTGTGAACCGGATTCAAAAGTTGGTACTCGGACATAGAAGTTGCCGAATGCCTTCATGCACGAGAATGATAATATCTCATGCTTTGATGGTTGTTATCTGCGAAAGTACATTTATGCTTGTTGGAAGCTCGATGTTATATTGGTTATGTGAAAGGAAACCAACACATACTTTTTTAGGCTTCAATGGTGATAATATCTAAGCATTAAAAAGTTTGGACAAGGAGAAAAATCGTCTTAGTCCTGTTGAGAGAAGTTCTGAAAAAATAATAATGTTAACTTCTACCTCAAACAGGCTTATACTACAACTAGGAGACATGAAGGTATATTCTATCTGTAAAGTCCGAGTTGGAGAGTGATTAGATGGTATCAGTGGTAAGATTATTGCGTGATAATGGTCTGACAATAAGAGAAAGAAACTACCTAATGGGTTCCAGGTAAGTGATTGAAACTTTTTGTACTTTCACTTGCTATATATTTCTTTCTCTTCTATATTAGAGTATTTTTTTTTTCACATTCACTTTTTGAGTTTCAGTTCCTCAACATTTCCAATTTAAAAGCAGAAAAAAAATATTAAGTATGAAAAAATGACATTAGAACCAAAAGAAAAGGATATTTTTATTCACATTTCCTCCAATAAAATACTTCGTTTAAGATAGAATGAATATATTCTGATAAGTTTGATTTACAATATCATATTATGATGAGATTGATTGAAAATACCACTTAAGCTCCTATGATTTTTTCGTGTTTAAAATAACTTATACATATTAAAAAATATAGCATATAAGCTCATCTCATCAAATTTGAGTTAACAGACGTTGGAGTCTGCTTACGTGACATGTTGACCTATAATAAACTATTCATATAATGATATGTATAATTTAAGTAAAAAAATAATTAATTTTAACCCTTGTGGTTTTGATCATAGACCTTCTTATGGTTTTGTTTATATCTAAAATAATCTTTACATTTTAAAAAACATAGCATATAAGTCCCTCCCGTCTGGTTGAGTTGACAAACATTAGAGCCTGTTTACGTGGCATGTTAACTCATAATAAATTATTAATATAATAACACGTGTAATTTAAATTAAAAAAATTGAGACCATCATCAATAGCGGAAGGAGGTGTCGTCGTGCAAGCGACCACCAGTAGTAGCATCGAGTCACTACAGCCTAGTAGGACATCATACGCACGCAACCTTTCTCATGCTTACGATAAGCTTAGGAGCTTCCCGTCTTACCTCAGGTGGATATGCATCGACTAGTCCAACGCAAGGTATGCACTGGTCTCCTGGTCCCTCTTCCTCCTCTCGGGTATCTTCGTCCCTATCGCCTCTTATTTCGTCCTCTCCTGTGCCCCCACCCATTGCGCCTACGACGTGGTGGTTCAGCTCTTCCTTTCCTTTGCCTCCGGCCTCTCCTACCTCCACCTCTCCGCCTTTATTCGTCACTACGGCCTCTGTCGCTTCCTCTTCCTTGATAAGATAGACTTTTTTCTAAACTTAAATTATACATGTTATTATATTAATAATTTATTATGAGTCAGTATGTCACATAAGCAGATTCTAATGTCCGTCAACTCAGAGTTGATGGGAGAGACTTATATATTATGTTTTTAAAAATATGGGTTATTTTAGACATAAACAAAACTATAAGGGCTTAATTGGTGTATGACCAAAACCATTTTAAAATTAAATTATATATATCATTACATTAGTAGTTTATTATGAGTCAGCATGACACGTAAGTAGAATTTAATGTTTGTTAACTCAGACTTGATGAGAGGGGTTTATATATTACGTTTTTAAAAATATAGGAATTATTTTAGACACAAGTAAACCATAAGAGATTAAGTGATCTATGACCAAAATCACAGGGGATAAAATGAACCTTAACCCATTAAATTATCTAGTTACGATAGATAAGGTGTTGTATTTATATATCAACTCTATCTTGCATCAAGGAACATCCTTTTGTGCTTCCAGTATACTTCGCCTTCATCCTTTTTCTTATCCCTTCTACGATTTTAATGATGTTTACTTCATTGACTTACCCACATTGCACTCTATATTTCCACAGAGAGAGCATGTGCGGATGCCTTAAGTGGCAGCAATTCCTGAAATTTTTTTATCATATTCAATTGTGCTTCATTGAGACTTCATCACTTTTCATGTACGAATTCACAATTCATGACATTTTGTTGGTAAGAATTTGATCATATTCATGTGAAACTTCTGCTTCACCGAGACTTCATCAGTTTTCATGTACGAATTTCGGATTGGTTTCCGCCATTCATCTTGTTTTTCTCTTCCCCAGGTCATTTACATAATCATGTCGACGTTACTCCCGTGAATTTGCTAAGGTGATTTAAGTTTGCTGAACGACCTTCTGTTTGTTTCAAGAATAAAATTTACAAGTGTATTTGCTGTTGGCTCCATCTTGATGGTGAATCATCAAGGATTTTTGCTCTCATCGTGCTTCTAGATATTAATTTCTCTCGCTGGACTTTGCATGCGGCTGTTAAATCTCAAAGTAGAAAACTCCCATTACGTTTTATTTTGTATTTTGTTGACTATCACTTGCACTGACAGTTGATACAGCTGTTAGTTTTACTATCTTGGAATCCATTTATATGGGACTTTGACTTATCTTAACCGAGTGCCAATACATTTCAAGCCAAGGAGCAAGTTAAGTTTACAAGTTCATCCTTCATAGATAAAGTTATAGAGCTTAGACTTTGGATTTCTTCTTAGTGAATGCTATTTCAATTGTTAATTCATTGCACTAAACCATCCATTATGGAAACTGATACTCTTCCAGTGATGAATAATCTGTAAAACCTCAGAGATACTAATACCCTTTACATTTCGAGACCAGTGACAACAGGAAGCACCATGTTTAATGTTAGGGCTACAATTTAGAAGCTAAAAACCTTGATCTGGGTTCCCATTCTTCGCTTACACCATCTACCTTGACTCTTCATGTTGGTAAAATATGCCAGCTGATTAGTTGATACATTTAGACAGCACATAATTGATGGAGTTGTTGGCTTCCTGTGAACAAAGATGCTTACATCCAGATGCCATTACTGATCACTGATTCACAGATTTTGTGGCTCTACACTATTCACTTGTGTTCTCTAGTCTATAGACTTTGATTCCTGATGTTAATTACATGCTTCAGGAGTTGCAATAAAATATTAATATACTAATATTGGTTTTTTTTTTTTTTTTTCAATTTTCAAATTCTGCAGCAGTTAGATTTAATGGTTGTTGATGGTAACATGTTTTTCTAATATCATGAATGAAACCACAGCCAAGCTCATATTTCTTTATACTAGATTCCAGTTGAAGTCAGATGAAGATATGTCATGCCCTATAACTATCTACATAGATATATATAGTTTATTGTGTTCTACGCCTAGATGATACTAACAAGCACATAGATGGATGATGCAGGAAAGCAACGACTGCAAAGCATGGAAATGGCACCTTTCCTGGAATATTGTTTGCAGCAAGGACTCCAGTAGAACTGTGGTCAAAATCAGAATTGCTTTGTTCTTTGTTCTCATCAATTGCATTCATATCATGTGTGAGACAGTTCTATCATTGTGTGATTGCAGAGTGAAACCTGGTTATGTAATGGTAAACAATCCATCTTTATTGCTTGCTTGTGGATAAGACACCATTTAAGCAGATGAAGGCCCTTTCAGTGTGGTCTTTGTTCACTCACAGGGAAGCTACTCATGTGCCATCTGAAACACGAAAAATGCCAGCCATGAAAGGTATGTATGTGTTGCTCAGAGCAATAAAATGTGCAGATTATATTTCATCTTTATAGATGTTCTACACTCTGCATCGATTTGCTGTGTCTGAATGTTACTGGTTCAACAATTATGCTTGTGTGTGTATGATGATCCCATGAGGAGACTTCCTCGACAATTACATTCTCAATAGATATGTCAACTAGAAACCTCTCATAATGTGCAGAATTAGAGTTCATGCAAGATAAAATGATTTCTTTTCGGCTGCCTTCTGTGCGTAAAAAAAGACAGCGATGTTCGACAAGCATCTGTGTTAATGTGAGAAATGCAGCAAATATAGCAAATTAGTGAATTAAACTGATTAGAGATACAATTCATACCAGAATACTGAACACTGAATGATGCACAACATTTGTCAAACCACATAGTAAATGGAATTGAACATTGTAATGCAAAGTTATGAGAGGATTCACACATGCTATTAACACATACATTGTACTTCGAAGCAGACATGCACATTTCTCTAATAGCTGCTTCCTACCTCATAAAAAGGAAACCCTAATTTGCCAAAGATAAAACCAAAAACGGCAAAGGCAATTCCCTGTCTATCTGACAGATTAACAGTGCTGAACCTGAGATTACCTTCCTGAACAGTCTTATAAAACAGCTTGTGCAGTCTTTCAAAAGCCTTCGCAAGCAGTGCAATATATCCAAGTAAAGCATCCCCAGCATTCCAATTTGAGAAATATAAGATTTTAATCATTCCAATAAATAGCCACAGGAACATCATTTGACATTGAAAATGTAATTAAACAGACGATTTGCTGAGAAAATAATGCACACAACACCCATTGAGAAGTGGAGCTTAAAAATCAATTAGGCACAGCGTTTGACATATTAGTAACATAAATGAGTCGAAGGTCATCGACATGAGCACGCTAAAGTTACAATAAATCCATTATTGGATGTTACAGTCAACCATTCATGATTTAAAAAATGTACAAGCTATGACGAAGATTACACATAATAACCATCATAAATGCCTTTACTCATGGAACAAGTCAAAAAAGAGAGGAACATGTTGTATGTCACTTACGAAGAAATCTGGCTTTGCTGCTCCATATTTGTGTTGTATAGTCACTGGATTAGAAGATGAGTTAACAGGTATCACTTCATGTGAAGGGTCCAAACTATTCTCCGGTTGCCTTTAACATATTTAATATCCATCCTCTATGGGGCATCATAATCCATAAACCTAAAAATTCCACAAGAAGATATGTTAAATATTCATGTTTACCATAGAATTATGATATAAAAGCAATTCATAAATATTACAGTTGAAACTGCTAATAAGTAACTGCTTTAATTTTCCTATTCTTAAATACAAATTGAAACAATTAAGTCTTCGTATAGCCAGATATATATCTGACGCCAACGACGAGAAGAACAATAACACTTTAAGACAGGTAACATATCAAAAGTTGTTTCTAGATATAACCTCTTACTGGCTTGATCTACAGAATCATGTAAGTCGCCAATACCACAAAAGGCTTATAAATAAGCTTACATTTATAAAGTCGATATTGCATAGTCATTCGTCTATTATTGATCCAAATCATCCAAAATATTCTTAGAAAGTGTACACTGGTTGATGACTCAAAAATATTCTTAAAATCGTCAACATGCTTTTGTGTTATCAAACCAATCAAATGGCGGATCGACTAGATAAATGACCTAGGGTGATGATTAATGATTCCCTGAAGCAGCTTCATATGATCCACATATACATTCCTATGAGATTCTGTTTGCTAAGGTTTTGAGCTGGAGCTGGATAATCTTACTTTACAAGGCACAAATAACTAATGCAATTCAAGAACGACACATAAAAGCATTACATCATTCAAAGAAAATAAGCTTTCAAAAAATTTGAAGATTTGTAATTAGCTACGCAGATGCGCTATATGGTCCAAACTTAATCTCAGGAACATATGTTCAAGCAATAAAATAAAAATAACCAATACCAAGGAGAACGATGTACGATCAGCAGCACCAGATAGGTTCATATTAACTCTAATTTCTATATGTGTTTTAATAAGATAGCCAATTGTTTCTTGTTTATAAATATAAAATACAAATCATTATGTAGGTTTCCCATAAACAAACATTCCTTTTCCTTCATCTTATCGGCTATGAACAATAAACAAGATAGATTGCAGCAGTAGGTTCCCCCAAGCAGTAAGCAGACATCTGACCTAAATTATTTCCATAACAATCATATAACTTGGATTCAAAGACAAACCTCAACATGGAGAGCTCCATTACATGAGCAGGATTCGATTTTTACCTCTAAAGGCTGAATTATGTTGCAGTTCTTTCAGACTCAGAAGGAATTCATCTCAAGGCTGTGAGTCTTCCTTTTCATTAGCATCCTAATTGCCGTCCGGTATGGCTCTTCAAATGTATCTGAGACCCAGCAACCATCAGAGAAACCGATGGATTGACCAACAACACCACCGACGGCCTCCCCCATCCGCTCCTCACTTGGTCTGATTGCCAACAATGTTGCACCCTTCAACACCATCTCACCGGGCAACTCCAGTTGGTGTGCATACCACAGGCGCATATTTAGTGCCGGCAGAAGCGTCCGGTGTGAGCTCCCCGAAGACATCACTGGCTTCGTTCGTAGTTCTTGTAGCTGCCGGCGGTTCAGTGTCAGCAACCCCTGCCCATCAGCATCTGTCAGATCTAATCTCTCTAAGGTCTCGTTGTCGGCCACGATCGGATGGAGAAGGTAATGCCGCGCGGAAGCGGCAATCAGTGAGCTGATAGTCCACACGACCCTGCGTTTCAAGCTCCCATCGGCGTAGAACGATTCCGGGATGTTCCCGCAATCATCACCACCACAAGCGTCCTGGAAACTAGGATTTGGGTCAGGTTCTGAGGATTTGGCGGACATCGAGCACGAGGAGACTACGGAGGAGGCACCGAGGATAACGCAGCTTTCGAGGGTGCATCCAAAGTCGGCCTTCCACTTCAGGAGGACGCCGTCGTCGACGCCGAGCTCGCCGTAGGGTAGCTCGATGCGGAGGCGTCGGATTTCCTTAAAGTTCTTCAGGACCTCAGTCGGGGAATGGTGAGAGACCTCGGGAGACGAAGACGAAAACAACCCCGACTTCCTGGCGAGGGCATCCGCGCAGGAGGCGGGGGAGAGCATTTGGCAGAGAGCCTCAAGGGGCTTGACGAGGCCGCCGAGGACGAAGCGAGCAAAGTGGGAGAAGACGCTGTGGGGCTTGTCGAAACCGCCGCCGGGCGCCGAGGGGGAGGGGTCGTCCGAGATGACGCAGTCGACGCGGACAACGACGTCATCGACGAGGGGGGCTAGGTCGTGGAAACGGCGGTACACGGCGCAGCACCGCCCCAAGGTCTTGACATCGCCAATCCGGTTAAAGATCACAAGCAACACCGAGTCCGGCAACCGGTCGAAATGGTCAATCCCCTCCTCCTCCACTGCCGGATCCCAGCGGAGCGGCCGCAACCCGTCCGGATCCGCCGCTCCTACGGCGCCAGAGGACATATTATCAAAAAAATAATCCGACAGCAGTGGATCAAAAAGCAGGCCCAAATCCTCGAAAACACTAGAAAGGCGCAATCTTTGGAGACAATCCGAGCGATTACAGCAGAACCCAAACTCCACCTCTGGAAGCACCCAAATTTGGAGCGCGACGGGGGAGAAGAAGAGTCTGCGAAAGCTTCGTCTTCCTTCTCGCTGCCAAATAAGCCTAAATAAAAGAACTCAAAGATAACAGTGGATAGAAGTGGATAAGAAAGGCAACTAATCCACACCTAATCCCAAATATTCTGACAATTATCTTTATGGATTAACAATAATTCAACTGCTTCCTTTCATCTCCCTATGTCTCTATTATTAATTAATTATACATTTAATTAAATGAAGCTGCTGGCAGTCTCCATGTTGACCACGTCGGTCAACTCGTCTGACTTGGAAGCACACCCACGTTGACCGCGTACACGATCGACATCCAATTCAATCGCAAAGAACGCGCAACGTTGAATGAAGTTTATATTCTCATGTAGTTTCCATATATATATATATACGAATGTTGGAAATGATAATAATAAATTTTCTACCAATAAAATATGATTCTATATTTATATGAAAATTAATTTCTTGACATGATTAGGTTACACTTATCGAGTACATATAACACGCATCTGATGTGGGTCGAGTCGCACTTGTATCCGATCAAATCAATGTCATCGGTCGTAGGCGAGTCCGAGCTTGATCGAATCGAAGGTTTGGTTCGGCTTGACTCGATCGAACCGGGTGTCGCGTGGATTTGACTCGAGATCGAGGTCTAGTCGGAACGAGATCCGAGTCCGTTTCATTGGCTCGGGTCCCGGGGGATGGCATCGGGTCGGATGCAGTCGGGATCCAAATCCGAGTTCGGACCCGATTGCTGGTCTTGATTGATCCAAAGCCTTATTTATTGACCACATGACGTCCTCACGCGGTGTTTTAGGTTGGCCGCGAAACGATAGGGGTGATGGGAGGAAGCAGCGGTAGCGGCACTTGATGTACGAGTAGATTCGTATCGCCGTCGGCATGGGATCGAATTCTTCACCTCCAGGTCAGTGATTCTCCTTTTCCCCTCTTGCTGTTATCTGGATTGATTCCATCTTCCGTCGATCCGAATCTCGCGGATCCGCGTATGTAAGAATATTGTTAGGGTTTCGATCGATCGATTTGATCCCGTTTTTTTGTCACGTTTGGTGGATCCAATCGTGTTTCTTGATTTGGTTTCGTTAGAATTGAGTTTTCCCGCTGGACTCGAAAGCTCCGACGATCTTGATTCCTTTTCCCGTAAGTGAATTGGTTCGATCGTATATCGTGGATTGTTGGTAGGCTTGCGTCCTTCTCTGGTTTACCTGCTGACCGTAGGGGTCGTTGATGACAGAAATTTAAGGACCTGGAGTAGTTTATATTGGAAGGTCGATCGGAGATGTTTCTCTTTTCTGGACCATGGAACTTTGATCTTTCGGAATTTAGTAATTATTAGAACTCAAGATTCATCCTTTTTGTCTTTCATCTTCACTTAATAATGCAGCAAGATGGTTCCTCCATAGAAAAGGGGGGGATTTTGGCTTGATTTGCCTTATATCTTTGCTTATGTCATTCGTAACTTCGATCTCATAATTCTTCTTGCTGGATCGATTGCTTCTTGTTCGAAGAGAGCTTCTGTTTCGCTGTGGAATTTTCTTTTTCGTTTACAGTGACTTTTGGCTTAAGAGTCTTATGTGCTTTACAGGTTAAGGTAAATTTTGTGGACGTTATATAAATATTACATTCTTCACACAGTTTATCTGTGTTCAAATCAGTTGCTAAACATGACTGGAACGTTTTGCAATTGCCCTTGCAGTTTCTAAAAAATACTAAAACACAATATGCCAGATTGTCATAGAAACAGTAACAAAACAACTTTAGCACCTAGTTATACTTGTAATCTGGTATGCGTGAGCATTTTGCACCATAATATGCCAGTTGGTAGATCTTTGTGGTTGGACATCATGGGTTGCACGAGCATTTTATTGGTTCTCAATTATTTGTTGGATCTTTGCTAGAATGAATTACTGGGAGATACTTATGCTGTTAAAACAACAATTATGTGGTTATACACACACACACACACACACATGAGAGGAAGAGTTAGAGGCTTTAATCTTTCACTCAAAATGTAAGCTCTAAGTTAGCACAGCATGTTATTTGGCGCTTGGGCATAAATGCTCCTCTGTATCTCTAGAAACTAAATATTGGATTAATTGTGTTCTCTTAAGACATTTTCTCTCTAGGAGCATGGTCGAAGTACCTGCAAGGCTTTGAGTCTGCATATCTTAGAAAATTTTGTTATTTTGTTCTATGAGGTATGTTCAGTTCTTTCTTTCTTTTTTTTGTCTGTGTGGTTCCTTGGTCTTTCTTTTCCAAATATGCACTTCTTGTTTTGATTGCTTGACAACATGAGTTTTCTATACTACATGAGGCTATTATTTTTGTATTTCAATTTTTGCTTAGTGATGAAATTGGAAAAGTTCCAATTTCTGATGTTTTCACACCACATATACTACTTTGTATACTACATTGGACTTAGTTGGGTAGCTTTGGAATTGGTTGCTTATCTCCCCTCATTATTCCGTTTTGTGGCTATGTGGATGTTGATGATAAAATAAGCAACTGTTTATTCTAAAGGCTTGGAAGAGATCGTAGTAAATATGTTTTGAATTGAGTGCTCTGGGGCTTAATGTTTTGTTGTCATCATTCATGTCATGGTGGCCTCGTGATGTTGTAGATGTTACCTTAGCTTTATGTTTATGTGATTATTGTTATTCGTGGAAATAAAAACTTCTGCAGTTTGTAACCTGATAGCCTGTTTTATTGTCTCATGGTTGGTTCGACTACTGGCATATCAATTGATAACTGGATAACATGCATTTTATATTTGTGTCGGTTATCATTACCTGACAATCTATTTCTTCTGTAAGATATTACTTATGTTTAGTGGAAGTGTCCTATAGTTATCATAAAGAATCATGTGAAAAATATTTGACAGCATTGAATTGATTTGGATTGTTTCACTATTCATGAATATTGATTTTGACTTATGTTCCTTTGTTATCCTCGTTTCTAGAATTTTCCATTCTAAGGTATCTGTCTATCTGCAAGCGGGATTGGTCTGTAGCAGCTTGCCTGAGTTTTCTTTTTATTTCTTCATTCTGTGTGTTTGTGGTGGGGTTTGGGCTGTCCACCATCCTTATCCACTCCTGCAAATGCCATTTCTTTTCTTGCATGTTAACTGTCAATTATGATTTTATTGACCACTGTTGGACTTTTTAAAGAGTATCAAATCTTCTTATAACTCTGGTGTGGTAGAACTGACAAATTTGTTTCACTAGACATTAACTAAGGCTTTTAAGTTAAGTATTATTTGACTGGCTAGCTAGGAAATATAGGCCTGGTCCGAAATTCCATACTACTTGAACTAGAGCAACCTGTGATGGGCCTAGCAGTAGCTGAGATGAAGAGGATAGTGAGAAGGAAATACAACGTGATATTCAGTCTTATGCATCGATGTACTTAATACTTTGGAGGCATTAATGGCTAGCTGAACATTCAGCAACATTTGGCCTTTACTACTGTTTCAACTATATAGTTCTTCTGCTTGCTAAGAAGCATGGTCACAGTTATGATACAATCATTCTTACACAACAAGTCTTATAAAAAATGTCTAATCGTGTCCCTTAATAATATATATATATTTCACATCTTATTGTAATTTGTACTTTGTAGCAAATATTCACAACAGCACTTCAAATACAAATATATGCCCGATGTGCCGTAAAGTGTCCAACAACTGTCGGTCTCCAACTGGACACTGTCAGACCTGTATGGTTCTGGTCTAGACCTGTATGTCCAGTTTACCTTGGTCTGTGTGCTGGTAGGTTGTCGGACCACCAATTACTGGCCGTACTGAACCATACCAGATGGTATTGCAAATCTTGATATATATCATCAGTAAGAAAATGTGTTGGTTTCATCTGCTCTCAATAGAGTTCGACTCTTGAAGACTTAGTCTGTTTCTGATCGTATGTATAAAAGATCCATCTATTTCATAATAGATGCTTGCTCCTGCATGTTGACTCCTTTGGCCACAGATCTTTCTGCTCAGCTTGGGCCCTGATTTCCTTTTCCTTGTGTGGAGATAGTGTCCCTATGAAGTTTCTATTTTTCTATATATTTATATACTTGGTTTTGTGCCTCAAATGAGTTATGAAGTAGAATTGAATTGATATTAGCATGCATCTCTGCAGGTACTCTGCCACCAAAACCATGGGAACTAGCAGGGACTACATCTGGTCCTGCACCGTTCAAGCCCCCATCTTCTGGTAGTACTAGTGATGTTGTGGAAGCATCTGGTACTGCAAAGCCAGGTGAAATTGTTCCAACCGCCGACAGGAATGTAACTGCTAACACAACTACCCTTGCAAGGTCTGTTCCTCCGAGGCCCTGGCAGAATTATGGAACTAGTTATGGAGGTAACCTGTTTGGACCTCTTTGGAACGCCTAACCTCCAGCAGTGTCATCATGGTGCTGAAGCTTCCATTTCTAATGCAGGTTATGGTTCAAACATGTATAATTCAGGCTATGGTTCAGGGATGTATGGGGGTCTTGGAGGGTCATACGGTGGTGGCTTGTATGGTAATAATATGTACTCAGGGTACGGTGGTGGCTTTCATGGAGGTTCTGGAATGTATGGGGGTAGCATGTACAATAGTGGCCTTGGTGGCCCCATGGGTGGTTATGGGATGGGCATGGGAGGCCCGTATGGTAATCAAGATCCAAATAATCCATATGGTCCTCCATCATCGCCACCGGGCTTCTGGATGTCCTTTCTCCGGGTGGTAAGTTGTTATTTTCTGAGGAAACTACTTAATGAAAATTGTTATTTGTTTTCTCTTTTTTTTTTTGCCTATTTATACCGTGTATTTTTTGATAACTTTTGCATAATTGTGTGAGACTCATTTCATCCTTGTTCTATTTCGGACCTGATTGTGTCCTTTTGTTCTATTTTGAAACATTGTTTGTAGATGCAAGGTGTGGTGAATTTCTTTGGTCGAATCTCTATTCTTATCGATCAGAACACCCAGGCTTTTCACATGTTCATGACTGCTCTCCTCCAGGTTAGCTTTCGTGGTCACTCCTGTCATCATCTTTACTCTTTCAGAAAGCTTGGATGATTCATCATCACTGTTCAATATCTGTTTCAGCTTTTTGATCGTTCGGGAATGCTATATGGTGAGCTTGCAAGATTTGTTCTAAGGATACTGGGCATCCGGACAAGGTCTAGGAAACAGCAGCAGCTCGGACCTGGCGAACTCCCTGCTCCCGCCGGGCAGCAGTACCTCGAGGGACCGAAAGCTCCATCCGGGGCATGGGACAGTGTTTGGGGCAACGATGTCAGGGGATCTGATTAAGACCAATCCAAATTCATCAAGTCAAGAATATGGAAAACCAAATAACGGACACAAGAATATGCCCAACATGATCACATTAGCTCTGTTAAAGAGCACGTTCTTATTATCTTCATGTGGGTAATGGGCAGTGGCTATGTCTCACTCTCTCTAGTCTGTGGCATATAAGGTGTGTCTAAGCATCGATAAGTTGTTCTATAATGAAGGAAACCGATGGATGATTCCGGATTTATATGGTGTAGATGATGTCAAGTTTGATATGTTTTCCCTATGTAAAAGTTGGTGCAGCATCAGAGTTGTCAATTTTTGTTGGATACTCCACGTTTATCCTGTTTTTCTTGTGCTGATTTAAGTGTGGGTGGGGAATTCATGCCTCGTGGTGGGGTTTTCTTTGTCTAAACCGATAACCCGTTTATTGGCCGCGCTCGTGGCTGGAAGAGTTGTGGATTGGCGGATTGGGTCGAGTTGATTTCTGAATTCATCGGTCGGATTGAATTATATATAGATGGCGAGGGAATAGCGCGGGTCAACCCATTGATGAATTGTTCGAATTACGAGCTACGACTTTAGACGCGATTTATTCACGACTTCGTTAAGAACTCAATCCACGACGGCTACAACTACTGTTACGACCAAGGGATGGACGGGCACGTCGAAGCCGATGAAGTCTCATCGATGAAACCTATGCTTGGAAAAAAAGGCTCAGCCGCTTAAAAGCAGAAAAATAAAAATAAAATTGAGAATGAGGATCCTCTCCAACTCTAAGTGTTCTTGTTATATTTAAATTGAAATCGTATCCGTCCAATCAAGATGTATAAGATCTATACCGTTCAATGATGTACGTTCAGTGCGGTGCGACCAAGACGGTCAGAACTTCACGGATACGGTCCATATGCGCATGATCATAAATGGACGGTAAATATTTGATGTCTCAATGAAGGCACGGTTGAGATGAGAGAGTTGGACTGGTAAAAGGGACACGCTCGAATTGGAGAGGATCCTAGCCCAAAAGGCCCACACCCAGCGCTTCCTATGCCTCTCGCATCGGTGTTTCCGCCACCCACACCAGCATAACAACAGCTAACGCTCCCCACGCCCCCCCAACCCGCCCTCCTCAAACGAGCAGCCGACCTGCCCTAAAGTCTCACCGATCCCGCCCTCAGACCCCTCCCTCAGTCTCTGGACTCGATCTGCTTTTGGGAGATGGCAGCAGCACTGCAAACGGCGGCCCTCCTCTCTGCTTCTCCCAATCTGATCGATCCTCAGAGGTTTCGCGTCGGGCTGTTGGCAAGATCTCTTATAGGTCCGACTCTATCTACCCTTTTCCTGATTTAGCTGCCTTCCTTTTTCTTCGATGCCTTGCATCTTGATCCCCCTTCTCTCAGTGAAGTTATATGTGTGCTCCGGCTCTATAATTGCGTTGATTTCGTGGGTTTTCCTGTTTCTTCTTTTTTGGAGGCAAACATGAAATCTTACTAGGATTTTCTTGTGCGACTGATTTGTAATCTAAACCTTTGGTATTGTTCGTCTTGTGCATTTCCAGGAAGGAGAGGAAGCATCTTCGTTGTCAGATCCGATGGAAGAACCTCCGGTTTCTTTAATGCTAAGTCTCGTAGTGGGAATTTCATCACGAATGCGGTTGCAGTTGAGTACTGAGTCACCTTACATTGTTCCTGTAGGATGTACTGTATTCTGTTACTGACTTATGTGTATCTTTTCTTATCCTCCATAGACTAAGGCTGATGCGTCTACAAGTTCCACCGCATCCAAACCTGGGTAAGCTGCTGTAGATATTGACATGCTGTATTCGTTGTTAGAGATTGCAATACTTTCCGCTAATCACTTGTCAATATCTTGCAAAATAGCTTGACTAATCACTTTTATTTAATTGCTGATTGACGCCAATACTGGTGGCGTCTGGAATTTCTGTAGAAGCTTCCTCATATGCGTTGTTGTACGACTATGGAGAATGTTGTAACCTAATTTCATGTCCAGTAATGCTAATTTTTATTATGCATATTATAAACATTTTTTCCGAAATAACCAACATTAGGAAGTTAATGCTGCTAACTGAAAGAATTGTAAACCATCTGTGAGGCAGAGGTAAAGGATTTTAATTCACAGTTATTGTCATTTGACACTGTGGTATTAGTCAAGATTATCATTTATAAGATGTTGGGTGGACCACATGGTTTATATTAAAAGTGATTAATAAAAATTTAGCTTTAAACTGGAAGAGAGAAGGGAGGCGGGAAGAGGAAGAGGGTTGATTGATCTGCCAATTCAGTTTCAATTTGCTTAATCTCATTCTCAGATCCTACACCATGCTTGTTGACAAGGCTTTCTTTGGGAGTTAAAACTTTCCAATCCATCCCCAGGTGTCAGGTTCTTGACACATTTGCCTCCTGGAAGAATGCAACTGGATGTCATAACATTGATTCATGATATTGAGAGCTAAAGATGTTGTGTTTGTTAACAATGATGGCAATTATGAGTTTATAACAGGACTAGACACTACCACTTGCGTTTTCATGTATAGTCAGTCCTATTATTCTTATTCATCTTGATCATCATATACTCTAGCTGTCTATCACTTCGCTAAGCATGACTCTTAGGTAATCTTAATCTGGAATTCTATTGCACCATCATAGGCTTCAAGGTAAATTAATAGATGTAAACTTGCTCCTTTGATCTAGTCAGTTACCTTTCTTCATTTTCATTGCCATAGTACATAACAATCTCACCTAAGCCTGCACTAAAATTGCTTTTAGTTTTCGTGCAATGGATTATATTATTCTGTATTTATCAAAGAAAGAATCATTGCCAAGCTTAGGACACTATTCAACCTGTTGACAAACTATAAGCATGTCTTTTATATACTTGTGTGTCATTACCATCTCTTTGTCATAGGTGCTTGTACATGTGAGTTTATTGAACATATAGATCGTCTTAAAATTTGTACATAGGATCTATTTTCCTTACAAGTCAAAGCAAATTGATTCAACAACCTCACCTTTTCTGATAAATTGTTAATCCTGATTTGTATCTTTGTTATGGTACTGATTTCTATCTAAAAGTTACTTTTCTGGACTCATTGATGAGGCTTTACCCATCATGTATCAACTAATTAGGAACCTGAATTTCTTCTATTTATGATATAGGAAGCAATTCTTACTACAGTTTGATGCCACATCTTGACACTTGCATTTAGAAATCAAATGTATTCTAGTGAAATAATTAGGAGGGCCAAACCCACTGCATCCATGCTGCTAAACAAGATGAACATGCTGCATTAGTGTGTTATTCGCACTTGACCCAAATCCCATTAAGGCATGCTTGGTATATCTGAATATTAATTTGTACGATAAATTATTGCTCTCATGCTAAATTTCATCACTTCACATGCCTTGCCACATTTCATTGCCTAATTTCCATTAGGCATTGGCACATTCATGTGCATTGAGCCTTCAGTAATTTTGATTTTGGCTTCTGAAGTTGGAAAAAAACTGCTTACAATTGGCTGTTATCCTGGTGGAAGGAAATAAGAGGAAATAATCTAAGAATATGTCCGAACATGCTTCTCACCTGCCTGTTTCTTTGCCATGATAGGTTCTTTGCCCCAAATAGAATTTTGTGGGTTTTGCCAAACATTCAACTAGAATCATGTCCGTCCTTTAGCTTATGGTTTTGGTCTCAGAGTTATGCCCTTCACTTAGCAGTCATTCTTGGTGATACTAGATATAGGAATATATTATCTTGCATTTGCACCTTTGACTGATGCCCATTTCGCACAAGGTGCATCTCAGATTCATTTTGAAAATGCTTTTTCTTGTGTTCCAATCTTGTACTGTTGTGTTAAATATTTCATGCAACTGGACTGTCATGTTGTTTGTATCATATTAGGATTCACTCTTTCTTTCTAGGCCCTTTTCTGCAAGGTTTTGATTCAGTTTTTGTTTTGTAAATCTTAGACATGAGCTACTATTGTTCGAGGCTTTACGTGAGGGACTCGAAGAAGAGATGGACCGAGATCCTCACGTTTGTGTCATGGGCGAAGATGTGGGTCATTATGGTGGCTCATACAAGGTGACCAAAGGACTGGCTACAAAATATGGAGATCTGAGGGTCCTTGATACCCCCATTGCGGAGAACTCCTTCACGGGCATGGGCATTGGAGCGGCAATGACAGGCTTAAGACCTATTGTTGAAGGAATGAATATGGGTTTCCTCCTGCTGGCGTATAACCAGATTTCGAACAACTGTGGTATGCTTCATTATACTTCTGGTGGCCAGTTCAAAATCCCAATAGTTATCAGAGGGCCTGGAGGTGTTGGGAGGCAACTTGGTGCAGAACACTCACAGCGCCTGGAGTCATACTTCCAGTCGATCCCGGGCCTGCAAATGGTTGCCTGCTCGACACCATACAATGCTAAGGGGCTTATGAAAGCAGCAATAAGGAGTGAGAACCCTGTGGTGCTGTTTGAGCATGTGCTGCTGTATAATTTGAAGGAGAGGATCCCAGATGAGGAGTATGTGCTTTGTTTGGAGGAAGCAGAGATGGTGCGGCCAGGAGAGCATGTTACGATCCTCACATATTCACGAATGAGATATCATGTGATGCAGGCCGTGAAGACGCTGGTGAACAAAGGCTATGACCCTGAGGTCATTGACATCAGGTCATTGAAGCCGTTTGATCTTTATACCATTGGGAATTCTGTGAAGAAGACACATCGTGTGTTGATTGTGGAGGAGTGCATGAGGACAGGAGGAATAGGTTCAAGTCTTAGGGCAGCCATCATCGACAATTTCTGGGACTACTTGGATGCTCCAATCATGTGCTTGTCATCACAGGATGTACCGACACCTTATGCTGGGACTTTGGAGGAGTGGACTGTGGTACAGCCAGCACAGATTGTAGCCGCAGTTGAGCAGCTCTGCCAATAAAAGGTGCTTCTAATATCTACTACTTGTTCTCGTGTGATCTGAGCTTGTTTCCAAATTATTTTCCGAAACTTACGGTTGAATCGTTTTAGTAGTATGTTCATGATTTTCCTAATTATATGTTGTAGCAAAAGCATATGTTATTTTCAGTAAGGTTGTTATGCGGACATTAGCTGGAAATAATGGTTCTTAGTTTGTAATGGCAACTTCATATTTGATTCATATTACAAAAACATGAGTAGGGAGGGATTCATGACCTTGTTAACATGGTGTTTAATGACTCGAGTCCATTGCTAATCAATTTAAGCTGTGGGATTTCTAAAAGCACACAAGTTTATTTTCTAGGAGGCGCAAGCTTTGTACTTAAAATATAATTGCCATCTGCTACTAATCTTCTTGTAATGCCTCGAAGCTTTATGAACTGTTGATAACTTGTTCTGTATCATCCTTTCAGATCCAAAAGAAGAAAATAGAGGACTTTGCTTTATCTTGATCATTATTTGCTTGATGGTGTCGCGTTCTGATATCTTTAGCAGTCTTTTTTCTTTTTTTGCCCGTTTTAGAGAGAGAGAGAGAGAGAGAGTATTGGCTAACACCATAGGTTGGCAAAGAGAAATCTTCCACTACTACTATTTTAGTAGAGCCATAAGGAGACGTCAAGCGCTTGGTCGTGTCTTTTACCAGTGGAAGTAGCTGAAGGACTGGGCACATAGTGGTGGTATGATAAGGGAAATATGACACGTCCATGTGTTATCCTTATCCAGTGGATACATGACTTGCTGCTACCATTCATGTTGGCAACACGTCAGGATCGTCGTTGACGGGCGCTGGAGAAGGGTGGGTGGTTGGATGCGATATGTTGATCGAACCTGTTTCCTATTCCTGATGACGAACTAAGAGTACCAATTTTTCTTATTTTGTTTTCTTTCTGGAAAAGAAAAAAATATTATTAAGTTAATTTATTTGAATATATAAATATATTATTAATTGGGAGAAAAATATGATTTGTTCAACTTTTGTATCAAACTGTATAATTATATTAAAAAACATTGATACTTTTTCATCTTTTTGATGAGATTCTTTTATGCATATTAACAAAAAATTACATATAAACTTAATAGTTAACAAGATATAAATACCATGTAAAAGTACTATAATTTTATTAATATAGAATCTGATGAGTTTATCACAAATTTGATGTCGAGAGATGAGTGACAAGAGATCATACAAAAAAAAAGAATTATATTAGGGGTATACCCGGCCCCTTCGATGTTTAAATCAGTAGGGGGCTTGAAGGATTCGATCAAGTGCCAAATACGAAAGGTACTAGAGAGGGTGGAGCCTCCTTTTATTTTATGATATTTGACTATTGTATTGAGGTCATGGTCAATGTTTGGAATGATTATATGCTTCTCTTGACGATATATATGATCATGTAATGTCAAATCTACTTGTCTGTTGTCAAAATGTTGACCATATAGTGATGAGATGTTAGTTGCACGATGTTGGGTGTTGGCCACGTGGCCTTGAGGTGTCAGCCATGTGATGCTAAGATATTAGTTGTTTTTATATTAGTAAGACCACGTGGCCTTGAGGTGTCAGTCATGTGGTGCTAAGATATTAGTTGTTTTTATATTATTACTACTCTCACATCACTTGCCCTCAATTGTGTCTCGACATATGTAGTGGAGTTAAGGCACAATGAAGTTTCAGTTTGACTGTCGACCAAAAGGGCAATTCAACTATTCTTTTGTTGAAAAAGCGCTTTAGATCGATTTAGTTGGACTATAGTTGGAAAGAGCACATTAGGTTGATTCAATCAAGTTATTGTCGAAAGAAGCGCTTGGGCCAATTAGGTTATGCTATAATCGAAAAGAAAACTTTAGGTCAATTCGATCTAACTATTGTTTAAAGGAGCGCTTTAGACCTATTTTATGGTATTGTCATTGAAAGGAATGTTTCGAATCTATTTGATTGTATTATCGTCAAAAGAAGTGCTTTGTGATAAGTCGATCATGTTGTCATTATAAAAAACACTTTGGGCCGATTTGATTGTATCATCATTGAAGGAGAGCTTTGGGTCAATTTGGTTATATTATTATTAAAAGGAGTGTTTTGGGTTGATTCAATCACATTATCGTTGAAAGGAGCACTTTAAGTTGATTTAGTCGTATCATTATTAATAGAAGCGCTTTGGGTCAATTCAATCGTGTTGTCGTAGAAATGATCACTTTAAGCTAATTCGAATACGTTGTCAAAAGGAGTCTTTTAGGCCAATTCAGTCACACTATTATTGAAAGGAGAGCTTTGAGTTGATTCGATCGTGTTCTCATCGTAAGGAATGCTTTAGGCCAAATCGATTATATTATTGTTAAAAAGACTTTGGGTTGATTCGATTGCATTTATCATCAAAAAGAATGCTTTGGGTCGATTTAATTGCGCTATCATTAAAGGAATCGTTTTGGGCCGACTCGATCTCACTATCTTTGGAAGGAGAGCATTTTGGGTCGATTCGTTGTGTTATCATCGAAATGAGCACTTTGGATTGATTCAATTTTGGGTTGATTCAACTGCAATGTCATCATAAAGAGCGTTTTGAGTTGATTTGGCCGCACTACCGTTGGAGATGCTTATGACCTAATTTAGCCTACCTTATTGTTAAGAGACGCTTCTGCGTCGCTTTGGCTTACATCGATGTCGAGGGATGTTTTTGGACTAAGTTAATCGGGTCATTATCAAGGATGCTTTATGATAGGATTTAGCCACATCATTGTAGGAGATTTTTTGATTGGATTTGATAGCCGGAAGATTGGTCGACATGCCAAAAATCAAACTTCGTGTTAAAAAGGTTCGAGCATCACCCCAGAAGGATCGAATATTGTGTCAAATGATTATATGTCACGAAAAAATTAACATACCAGTATAATAGACGATATGTCGAAGGAAAGAGCGATGTGTCGGAAGTTCGAATTAAGTATTAAAAGATCGGACGATATATTGGAATAGCGTACAACATGCTGAAAGCTCCATAAATGTGCCCGATATGTGGTTGATTTGTCAAAGTCTTAATCAAGGTCGTTATCTGTTAATTTGAATTGGTATTGGGCCAAAACATTATCAAACTTGTCGAGAAAGCTATTAGGCTTGAAGCCGATCCGAATTAGGCTTGTTAGAAGGCCAAACCGATGGCTTAAACCAGGCGCAAGTGGTGGTATCGTTAAGCCCAAGCAATAAAACTACTTGAGTTAGCTAACAAGTACTATTTATGCTTTGTTAGCCTTTCTCTCTTGATTCGTGTGGTTTTCAGTTTTATGTTTTGATTTACATACCAATCTTCGCACGACAATAATTTTTTTTTTTGAAAATTTTATAATTTTTATTTTATGTTCTTCTTGATGCTTTGATCAGATTTCCCAACAATAACAAAACTTTGTTGACCACATGGTGTTCGTGTGTGAACAATGTTGCTAAGATATCGATTATAAGGCTTTGAGGTGGCAACGATCCTTTTTATGCTCATTTTAAGATAATGCATGTGATTTATCTTATCTTTTAATGATTTAATAAATTTAACTCCTTCAAATTTATAGGATCGAAATTTAAAATTCAATCTAAGAACCTCAACTTAAAATGGTAAGCTACATCACCATTAGATTAATATTTTAAGTGTTAAATTTGTTGAATGATATTTTTGACCCTCAGTAAATAAGCCAGATATACCATTACCGACAAAAAAAAATAAATTAGAGGAATACTTTGAACATCCAACCTAAGATAGAAGAGTCCAGTATACTAGAAAACTCAAATTTATTATTATTTCTGACAATTTTTTCCCTAATTTTCTCTCTATCTTTAGTTTCATCGTTAATCCTAGACAGTTAGTTAATCTTGTTCCAAAACCATCACAACTTTTTGATATTTATTTTTGTCTTTTCTTGTATCTTACCTAATCATTCATAAATAAATACATCGATATTAATTTTCAATTATCTTACGTATTCACCTCAACATTCTTGCCCTAATCCCTTAGGTTAATTTCCTCGCCCAAGTCACTACAACTGGGAACAACACATCTCCAAGGCAGGCCAGACGCTGTCCAAACCAATGTTTCTGCGCTACGGCAGGTCATGCAATTTGGGCCTTCAAATGTCCAATAGCCCAATAACCTTAGGCCCAACAAAGTCATGTATGGCAAACGTTGCGACTCTCTAAATCTCGATTTGGTACTGCTTTCAGTAATTTACCAAACCAATTTTGGTGACAGTGTATGGTACAATATACCAAGTTAGCAGACTTGTTTCCTGCATTCCGGCTCACAAGGTTTCACAGCTGGGCCTGAACTCATGCCTCACCGGGCCAGCAGATTTATATCTGACAGTTGCAGGTTACCAACCATTGAGGAACAACTATGTCTAAGTTATCATTATATATCCAACGATCAAATCTCGACTCACTAAAGATAGAAGAGGAGAGAGAGGTACCTGTGGTGGGAGAGCAGAGAAGGACTCTCATCACATGGAGGGTGCACCCACTAACCGGACAAGTTCGTAAATGGGATGGCTTTCGCATGTCACTGCCAAAATGAACTGCAATCGCAAGCGGGGTCTACTGCTTGCCTTTGCTGCAGCCAATCCAGCAGACATCACTGCATTCGAACCATGTCGCTCGTTCTGATGGAACCATATGAACAAGCAGTCGACAAGAATCTCCAAATGCACATGAAGCCATCATCAAAAGAAACATCAGCAGCAATGCCGGGCTTCAATCATTGGCAGCAGCTGCCCGCGTCTCATCCAACCCCCATCCCCCACCAATGGCGACGCGAAACCTCAGCCGTCTCTGACCGCACTTCCCACCCCTTCATTGATCCGACGCTAGTAAATTCCTTCCCAGCAGGACCAACCAAACCGAAAGCACCACTTGCTAATTGTGGCATTACATCGAACAGCTGATCGACGCAACCAAGGTCGCGAGTGGCCGATGGCAACTTCGACAGCGAAACCGACCGTAGCAGAGAAGAACTCAGGTGAAGCGCGACCGATGGCGGCGTGACTCACACGCCGGGGAACCGTATTCAACTCCCTCCACGCAAACAGATACGTCCATCTAACCTTATCCGATCCATCAAATGGGGGTCAGGAAGGATTTAGATGGAAAAGGATGGCGATCGAGTGCATACCTAAATATGATGGCAATGGATTGGATTGGCCCCCAATAATTGGGAGACGCAGAAATATCGGAGCACAAGTGGGAATGTGGCGGAGT